TTTAACTATGTACCAATTGCTTCTTTCTACCTAAAACAAGGTTTTGGTAGACCACTCTCTAACCTACATAAGGTAAAAGATTTTTAACTGTCTTACGTTTTCTATAAGGTTTACCTGGAAACTTATAAAACAGTGTGTACACGGGTGATATTAATTCATTACATTATCTTATGTATATAATTTAGATTCCATGTTCTTTTAATAAGATGATGCTACACACTACTGTCTCCTGAGTCAAACAACTACCATCTTCATGACTTCAACTGTGTCCACTAACAAAAGATCATCACAATTGGACTTGCGGACTTAAGTATCTAATTAACGGAGGAGGGATAAACAGGGTCATTGGACCCTCACCTGAGAATCCAGCTGCTCTTCCCAACCAACTGTATGTAATTTGGCCTTAATCATACATGGTCTCCTGGGTTTGGGGAGGACTAAAGTGTATTATCTGGGGAAGGCTAGGAAGAGAAGGCTTGATCCATGCTGGGTTAAGGCTTTCCAGTGTAGATACTCTCAGGTCACTCATATACCTCAGCAACCCCTCAGTCATCTCTGTAACTAAGCTCAATAAATTCATTGGTTCCCCAGAAAAACTTTAATGTAATCAAACATTTGTTAATGTTATTATGTCTCATGGTTATTAAAAAAGAGAATGGTAAGATAAAAGATGTTAGAAGGATACAGGAATGGAGGTATTTTGTTAAAAATGAGAAAGCCTAAGCAAATGATGGAGTTCTATGTAGGTTTGTTATGATTTATCAAGCATGAGAAAAAGATCTTAAAATTTCTAAGGTTATAGCTTAGTCAACTAGTTTAAGGATGTCTCATCAAGGTTTATTTAAAAATGTTTGGGTTTTGCCCATGTTCTATCTACATAGCACATGGTAATTAAAAGTACCAGATTGGTGTAACTAACCTTCTTGGATGTTTAATAGCCAGACTTTGAGGCCTATACTAATCTGGTCAGAGAGACTTAAAGGGACATTTTTTTGTTCCTTGCCCTCCAAAGTCGAACAAGTTCCAGGGGCTATGGAGTATCTCTCGAAATGTCCTGTAACTTTGGAGAGTCACCTGTCCTCTTGTTCAGGGAGGCCATGGAGACCCCAGAAGATAGACTAGAACCAGTGTCCAGTCTGCAAAGAGGAGGGTCAACACAGGAAACATTTTCTCCATGCTTCCAGGTGAAGCCAGATCAAGTAGAACCTCTTGACTTATCTTCATGTAGTAGATGGAACTAGTAAAAGAAAAGCCTGAGGAGCCAGGGGCTCCCCCCAAGCCCATGTGACCCCTGAGGAACAGATCCTCATATGACCTTAAAAGTAATAATAAATTGGTTTACTTGGGCCAACTGAGTATAACCAAAGATTAAAGTCATCAGTATATTTCTTTAAGAGTTCAAGGGATTACACATCCCAGACATTAGACTTAAGGTCTTATAAGATGTTATTTAGACAATTATTTCTCATTGGTGATTTTAAAATCGTGGTCTACAATACTGTAGTGTCCACCTACAGCTGAGGGAAACAACTCACTATTGTTCTAAAATGATGGCTAAATTTGTTTTCTCTCCCTATTAGAGGCCATTTAAGAGGGAGCTGATTCTACCACTCCAACAGTTATCAAAGTGCCTGACAACAAATCCTGAGTTCATCAATCATCAGTCCAGCCTTAACAGACAAAAAAATGAGTAGAAACCCATTAGATGGATGCTTTGGGGAGCCCTCATCAAGAAATTTCAATGGACTTTAATTTGGACATTTTCTGGTTCCCTGCCTAGAAATTGCAATACTAACTACTCTTGCCTTTACTCTTACCTTTACTTTTCCTTCACATCTCCCAGGCACCAGTCAAGCACCTTCCTTTTCTCCCTATAGTTAAGAATTATGCAATTTGGGAGTCTTTTATACAGACCCACTGAAGGGGGTACCCCAATTGCCTCACCCGGCATCCCTGTTCAGCATGGAAGAAGCCAGAGCGGTCTGCATCCCAATTCCCTATTGGCAATTTGGGTAAGCCTCTTCAGAGGGTGGTATGATAATAGGAGATAGAAATTGGCTAGGCAGCTAGGGTAAAAAGACCCCAAAGAAAAGTAGCCAGTTTCTTTCTTGGTTAAAAGTCAAAATGTCCTTGGGCCTTTTAACAAAGTACTCTGTCCCAAATGCCAAAACAGTTAAAAGTACTTGGGAGCTCTTATCCCAAAAAGATTTTAGGGTTACCTCTTCAGAGGGGGGGATATTACAATATCAATAGCCCCCTGATTATGCTGTGTTTTGATGCTTGCTTCCTGTTTCATACAATTTCTTACAAATTGCCACCATTGCTAAAATTACTACCAATCAGGTCATGGTAAATTATCAGACCTTGGATTCTCCCGAGATAGGTGAGTTGGCTCTTAAAGCTTGTAATGCCACTTCTCCATTATAAAACAAAACAGGGGGAGAGGCTGGGGAACTCTGCCATTGAGGTCAACTCCTTTCTTAGCAGGGGCCTCCTGTTCTCTGCCTGACTTATCTGGAAAGTGCCTCCAAGCACAGATGCCTGGCCTTATTTGGAACATGACCTTGGGCATAGTTACCTGCAATAAAACTGCCCCCAGGTTTTTTCTATATGATAGTTAGGCGTTGCCCTATAGTTGGATGATAGGATCCCCCTATCACATGTAAATAAAGCACACTATGAGCACCTATCAGCTGAAGCTTTGGCTGCTGCCTCCACACTATATTTTTCCCTGACCCTCACTGAATAAATGAAGCTGTATTGCTGACTCTCTGGAAGGTGTTTTCAGTCGTGCTCACTGGCCGTCCTGACCCCGTTCGTCGCTTCTGCTCCATTTGTTCTCGTGGGTTGGTGGCCAACAGCCCGCAAGGGGAGGGAGAGACCCACACACAATATGCCTTACAATTGGGGTTTGGGTGCGTAACTGAAGAGGTGGGAGCAGATGCATATTGAAGACTAGCTGCATGTAAGGAATGAATGGCCCACGGCTGGAGATCCATGGAGGCACCTGCACAAATTAGAGGTCATTGTGGCTAAAGAAGGCAGTAGTAGAAAGCGAGAAGTGCAGAGATTAAAAAAGGTATCAAGGAAAAATGCACAGGCGGTAAGACTGAATAGAAATAACAACTTTTTTGGTCAAAAACAAGGTCTGTGTAGTCAATGACCTTTTTATTGGACAGCTCACAAGGTACAAACACTTGTTCAAAGGCCTTCTGACAGCTTCTGGATTACGAACAGCTTCCTTCTGTTTGGGCTATCAGTGGCAGTATGTATGCTATGTACTCACTACTCTGTTACATCCATGTAGTGTAGCTGTTTCCCCCAAATTGAAAAGCTGTCTCCTCAAGGAGGAGCAAGGCTCCCAACACTCAGGAAGCAAAGGAAACCTACAGGGCTCAGAGTGAGAGACTTAGAAAGCTCAAGAAGTTCCTCCAACAGCAATTGCTTAAGGAAAGACTCCAACAGGTAAGCTGTCAGTGTGTCATGCAGAGAGCTAGAGGGATGCAGGTTTCATGAGTGGTCACCCGTGCTGGGGTGGGCTTTCCCTTGATGCAGCTGCCTTTGATTCACTTATGCTCCTGTCAGTTACCCCAATAAACTTACTGAATCACTAACATAGTCTTGGGTGAAGCTGTTTCTTTGGGCTATCTCAGTGCCCTATTTGGGGTGAAGAGATGCTTGCTCACATCTCCTCAGTAAAAGTGACACAACAGTCAGGAAGTTCACTAAGTACTCACTCTATGTACACTCACTCGCAGGCAATAAAACTTGGAAGGCCTCTGAGTACTTCACCCTCAGTTTCTGCTCAAGTAAGCACAAGCATGTGAGGTTTGTTTACAGATCTGGTTTATAAAACGGCCAGTCTCGGGATACCAGATGTTTCTCCAGAAGTCAAAACTTAAAAAAAAAATTCTTATTCTAATTTTCACAGTTAAAACAATAATTTTTAAAGTTTAAAAAACAGTTGAGAATCTTGCTGAAATGCATTTATTCGGTAGAATAAAACAGTAAGCAGCATGGATTTGTAAAGTGCTACATAAAAGCCCCACGGTACATCAGATGTGAAAGGTTCATTGGCTTAAGCCAGTACAAGTAAAACAGGCATATATTTTTTTCAAGCATGCTATTTTAACTACCCTGACATGTAGTTATGTGCTACGTTGGTCAATGAAGAAGCCTTAGTTCCTAAATCTGAGAACTGGGGAAATGGGAGTTCTAAGATTTTGCCTACTAGATTTGACATCCTTTTGGCCTTATACTGGAATGAAGGGGTTAAACTGAGTTTTTAACAACAGAGGTCCTTCAGTGGGCTCACTGACCCCAAGGTATGGATCAGACTGACAATTCAAGGATTTTTAGAGAGTGTATGTGAAGTGAAAGAGCAAAACGTGTCATTTTGATGTGTCTCAGGGTCTAAAAAAATTCCAATACAAACAAGGCGGTAGCCAGTTAGCAGACAAGTGGGAGAAGAGGCGCAAGGCAGACAAGGGAGGGGTCTGCTCGGGGCTGGACTGTGAAGTATAGGCATACCCACGGAAACACGCAGCAAGATCAGAGATCTGCAGCTGGCTCAAGTCTGACTGAGAGGAATGGAAGATTGTTCTAGCACACATCTCAGTACAGGGTGAGGGTGTAGGGCTTTCTCTCCTAAGTAATAAGGCTACTGAGCTTCCCAGTTGGGTAATGACTTCTTACTAAGAGACCACTGACCCAATGTTTCTCATATCCTGCATTATAAACCAAGACTTCAGAATATACATTTATGTCAAGAAAATGATAAAATGGTAACCTATAATCTTCCTGACATGAGGTCTTCACAAAGTTCTTAGGCTTTTAGACATAATAGAAACAATCTGTGAATAACTGTAAAATGCCAATCTATGACAGTTTAAGATTACTCTACACTGCTTTTAAAAAATTTAATGTAAAAATAACAACAAAAAACTGGCTACCAAATGAAAACGGAAATTTTGTCCAATGGTTAACAGGTCCAAAATCATACCACAGGAACGAAATCAAATTCCCCCTTTAAAATGATTTTGTGAACTGCTTTTATCTTGCTTATAATTTTACTTATTTAAAACCTCATAAGAAATTTATGATTACTCTTCCACAAACATTTAAAATACATATGAGCTAACTTTTGTTGACTAGTCTAGAATGTATATACCACTTACGTTCAATTGTATTTTTCAAAAAACTTATAAATGGACTTTCAGAGCATAATATGTTTAAAGAGCTGGGGACTATTCATATTTTCTAATTAAACCATCACAGGGCCCTCAGGAGTGCCTGGAAGGTTGCTGAGGGACATGCTGAAGGCAATTTTTTCTTAAGTGGTCTCACTAGGCATTGTGATGATAAAATTAAATATTAGCATCCGTGGAGTTGGTTAGCATTAAAGAATATATTAATTTTTTGACTGAAGATCTTTCTTAGGCTTTGATTAAGGGACAATTCTAAATAAAGGTTTGTTTTTGTTTTTCTTAAACCTTCTATCACTATTACTTGGGCCCTGAGTTTTCCTATCAAAATGGTATGTAAAATATTTCAATATTATGCATATTCCTGGAGTAATTAAAATCTATAGTGATTACAGAGCTGGGCATATAATACAATTCAAACCATGTCTGATTGAAAGCAAAGCAATCATTCAAACTTTATGATCCTCTCACTTAATTTCTGGGAAAAAAACTCAAATTATTTCCTGGTTTGGATCCTTTCTTTCTTAAGACAAAGGTCTGTGAGGGCCTGTTTTCTTTTTAATCTGTGTGCACACTGGGATGAGATGTCAACAGTATATCAAAGTTTTTACAAAGTATTTCCTCTTCAAGTAACATTCAAAAACAAAAATATAACAAAGATCTTCATACATGTTTGATCAAAATAAAATGATTTTCACTGAAGAAAGTTTAGAATACAAACAAGGTCACAGAACGGGCAATGCCAGCATACCATCTATGAATGACGCTTTGCAAGAGGTCTGTGGAGTTCTGCTTCCCTTTCCAACTCTTCTATCCCCATGTCATTCTATATAAGTAGAAAGAGAGCACCCAATAAATGATATTGAGTAACTACTAATACTCATGGGAAGTGAAAACACCATCTTTTACCTGAAAATTTCAAAGGATTATATAGAAAAGTATTGCAAATCTATAGAAAAAGCAGCTTAGGCATGAGCAGCAACAGTAAATTGTGAAGTAGATCAAATAGGAAGACAAGGAACTATGACTTCCAGTCCCTCCATCTGAGCAGGACAAACAGTTGGACCATAGCCTGAATGTTTTGCTATACTTATAATGAATTTATAAGTATAAAAAAAGTAATGAAGGGTAAATATAAAATAATCTTTTTGTAAACAATTCTTAGGTTATACCCAATGCAGAATGTTTAATGAAGCAATTGAGTCATAGCTCTTAAGTCACAAACAGTATTATAACTCAAAGTCAAATATGTACTCATTGGCCAGATATATTCGCCGGAATATAAGTACTGCCAACGCCAGAGTCAGGATGACAATCAGCGCGGCAGAGCCGCCATGATCGGTGTGGTTGTCCCTTGGTTGCTGGCCCTGGATCGCATCGGGGGAAGTGGATGACCTTCTTTGACTCTGCTGCTGGGCACGGCGCTGTCGGGGACTCATGGAGGTATTCTTAGCTGCTGGTTGGGCAGGTTGTTGCAATGACACTCCAGCCAGATTCTGGACTCCATACTAGGACATTTTAAGAAATTCTGTTTGAAATTGGCAGAAACATTTTGTACATATACTCACTAACAATTTGAGAATACACAGAATATCAAGAATATTAAATATGACTAAGGGCAAATCTACCAATGCTGAGACTAGTATCTGACCCTACTGAATAAGCCAGAAACACAGCTTACTATGAATGCCACAAGGAGGAAGAGGATGCTTAGCAGCAATACAGCAGCCAAGGCCTAAGTTTTCCTGCCCTCTCTGTGGATGGCCTTCTACGCTCCCTCACATGCAGCTTCCGCAGTACTTGCTAAGCACCTGGGAACATCTATTCTTTCAGAAGAGCCAAGCAGAGAAGCAACTTGTTTTGCACTTTTAGCTTCAAAATTACCCATTATAAATGGTAAAAAGGGCAACTCTAAGTACTGTGCCTTTTGTGAATCAGATTTCTTGCAGATTATCTTTCCATATCAACATGCTTCCATCAACAATAACAGAATAAAGAAATAATTCAAATCACAAATTCTTCATAGCAATACTATGACTATTAGGTACAGTTTTCAAACACAGCTTATCCATTCCTATAATTCCAGACAAGGAAGCTAAACACAAGTCCAAAATTATCTTTTACTTAGTACTGGATACTTAATGTTGTCAAAATTGCCTGGGTACATACTGATAAAAATGTGGAGTCCTGCAAGACTCAGTGTGCTCCCCACAAAGCACTGGGTGACAGCTGCTTCCAGTCACTGCAGTGACAGCTCAGTCAGTCAGGGAACAACTACAATGGGACAAAGTGTTTGGGTTTTCTGTTTTGTTTTTAATACTTATTTTTTTATTTTATACGTATGAAGGTACTGCCTGCATTTGTGTAAGTACACCTGTGTCGTGCAATGCCCTCACAAGTCAGAAGAGGGCACCGGATTCCCTGGAACTGGAATTAGGGGATATCTGTTAGCCACCATGTGGGTGCTGGGAATTGAAACCAGGTATTCTGCAAGAGCAGTCAGTGTTCTTAACCACTTCTCCAGTCCCAACATCAAGTGTTTTGAAATCTTAAATTTGTCTCCTAGATAAGAAAAACTGGCATTTTCAGAGAAGCTGTACAAAATAGGAATTACTTTTAGATACCTTAACTCTACTAAATCAATGGCCTTTAATTCTTTCATTGAAAACAACCTGCATAATGGTAATCCATTACTGACAGTATATATTCTTTTAGACAAAAAATAGGGATGCATGTTTTACTCAGAATAAACTAAGTATAAGACATTTCAAATACAGAAAATTCAAAAAAGAATCAGATGATATAACCCAAACACTTCTTTTAAAAGGTAAGGGGATGAGCTTTGTGCTAGTGACAGCTTTAAACATAAGGGGTGAATATTACTGATTTAAATTACTTGTAGAAAAATTTCCATTTGAAATCTGACATTCATTTCAGTATTAAAAGACTTAAACTAGGTATGATAGTATCCACTTATAATCCCAGCACTCAGGAAATAAGAGATGGGAAGACAGTGAGTTCAAATACAATGTGGCTCCATTGCAAAACCCTGACTCAAAAAACTAAGGGCTAAGGATGCACCTTAGCAGTAGGGCGCTTGCCTAGCATCTGTAAGACCCAGGGTTTGAATGCTAACATAGTAAAAAAGCTTAGATACTCTGAATTTCTTAAAACTATTCTTTGGGATTTCTCAAATGTAGTTACTTATAATACAGAGGAATAAAGAAACTATGGACAACTTTTGAGTTAAAAACAGTACTAATACCGAATTAGAGTTGTATAAACTTAGGCCTGTATGTACCACCTGGGACTCCAAGGAGCAATTTGCTCACTGAAGTATATAGATACATAAAGCTCAGTGTTTCATGGGGTCAAATGTCATCACAAGTTCCATATAGTAAGTGAACCAATATTCAATGAGTGAACTGAGTTACAGCACCCAATATAGAAACATTTTAGTCTAAGACTCTCATTCTTCTGATTGCTCAGCTAAGAGAATCAAAGTATTTAGTAGATTCAGAGAACTAAGGTTTAAAGGAAACAGGTTCACTTTGTAACTCAACTAGTCCCAAACATGTGACCCGCCTGCATCAGCCTCCCCACAGTGCTAGGACTGTAGGTGTACACCACCCATGCCCAGGTAAGAACAGGATCTTAAGGAAGAACATGATGGTAATACTGGTCTAGAAATTAGTGCAAGGGATTGACTTATATTAAAACTTTTATTGAATGTTATTTTTTCCTTAGTTTGAGGGGAGATTATCCTATCCATAAACCTGACCAAAACAAAGAACCTTTAATATTACTGGTCTAGCTTTGCCTAGTAGATGTGTGTTCCTAAGCGAGTTATTTAACCTAAGTCTCAGCTATCTCATCTGTACAATGAAGATAATATCTAATTCAGCAATTGTGAGGATTAAATGGGATAATGATATAAAGTGCTTAAGACACACAATTTCCTAGTAAATGTTAATTATTACTAATACTGTTACTATTAACATAATCCTTTAAAGCCTTGAGATTTGGGTTCAAAAACCAAGTTTAGTGGCTGGAGAGACGGCTCAGTGGTTAAGAGCACTGGCTACTCTTACAGAGGACTGGGATTCGGTTCCTATCACCCACATAGCCCCTAAAAACTGTCCATAACTCCAGTTCCAGGGGCTCCAATGCCTTCTTCTGGCCTTTGTGGACGGTGCATGCACATGGTGTACTTACATATAAATAGGCAAAACATTCACACAGAAAAAAATGAATAAAATTTAAATTTTTTTAAAAAACAAGTTTTTAATTTGCTTTGGGCAGTTTTTAGCTTCTTTATTAGTATTATTAATATATTTAGAAAATAACCCTTTCAAATATTAGCAATAAGCCAGACACAGTAGTACATGCTTGTAATCTCAGTACTTAGAAGGCTGATTCAGGAGAACTGGAAAGTTCAAGACTAACTTGGACTACACAGCAATACTATGACACAAAAAAAAAAAAAAAAAATGGAAAGGAAAAAAAACACACAAATTTAACTCTAGGTTTGAGCCCCAGTACTGCAAAATTAATGAACTGACTGCCAATATTTTAGTGCATGTGCTTAATGGCAATACTTATAAAATGTTTTATTTAGGGTTCAAAAGGCATCTGGCTGACTAAATATCAATATTATGAAATTCTAAACCTTTTTGTATCTACAATAATCATAGCCATTGTTATGTTCCTAGCAATATATCAATTTTTCTATAAGAACCTAGAATAACTAGCACCGAGGGAATTCTGTGTTTGCTTTTATTTGGTCTTTTTGAGACAGGGTCTCCCTGTAGCCCCAGTTGTCCTGGAACTCACTATGTAGACCAGGCTGGCCTTGAACTCATAGAGATTACCACCACACTCAGCCTGTGTTTGCTTTTTAACATAAAATGGAATGCTTTTAAAATATTCACTTGTTTACTTATTGTGTGTGTATGTGGTTGCTTGCATATGCTGTGGTGTGCATGTGGAGGTCAGAGGACAACTTTGTGGAGTCAATTCTCTCCCACCTTTTAAAAAACTTATGTGTATGAGTGTTTTGCCTGTGTGTATGCAAGTGTACCATTTATGTGCAATGCCAGTGGAGAACAGAAGAGGATATCAGATCCTCTGGAACTGGAGTTAAAGACAAGTTGTTAACTACCATGTGGGTGCTGGAAACCAAACCCAGGCCCACTGTAAGAGCAGCCAGTGCTCCTGACCTCTGTGCCATCTCTCCAGCCCCATCTCCTTCTACCTTTAAATGGGTTCTGGGAATTGAAACCAGGTCACCAGACTTGTGTAGCAAGTACCTTTAGCCATTGAACCAGCTCACCAGCCTAGGAATGCTTTTTAATATAAAAAGGAATGGACAGTTTATTCAGAACTTCAACCCCTGTGAAGGGGAAAATCTGACTGGAAGAACATAAACTCCCATCAGGAAGCTTTCTCATTTCTTCATAGCTGAAAAACCTGTACCACAACCAAACAGATGGCCTGGTGTTTTCTGATATGCTTAGACTTTCAGCAATCCTTGCTTTCCCCTCAAAGCAAAAGAAAATAAAGAAATCCAAAGTAGCCTATTAGGAATTTGATGTACAGCATCTCAGTGAATCTTCATTACACTGCCTGTGAAGCAGCTACTCCTAGCCAAAGCTCAGTTTCAGCTGCTGCCAGTGATAAAATCATGTAATCACACTCTGAGATTTACAAATGCAACTAAAAGTTCAATTTCAAGTTTTTAATATACTTTTTTTAAAAACTTATTTTTATATGTATGAGTGTTTTGCCTGCACATATGTAGTGTAGTCCCCACACATACATAGTGTAGTGCCCACAAAGGCCAGAAGAGGGTGTCCAGTGCCCTGGAACTAGAGTTACAGATGGTTGTTAGCTACCATGTGAATGCTAGGAACCAAATGACAGTCCTCTGGAGGAGCAGAGAGTGCTTCTAATCGCTGAGCCATCTTTCCAGCACCCAATTTTCAATTTTAAATGATTTATTATTTATGTATGTTTTAAGTAAAATCAGTCTCAGTGAAAAACTTTTAACTAGGAAAAAGAATTTTAAGTTTTGGCCAGACATGGCAGTACTCAACCTTAATTTCAGCACTCAGGAAGCAGAGGCAGGTAGATCTCTGTGAGATCGAGGTCAGCCTGTTTCTACAAAGTTCCAGCAAGCTGGGGCTACAAGGAGACCGTGTCTCAGACACAGACACACACACAGACACACACACACACACACACACACACACACACACACACACACCCCAAAAACCAACAACAAAAAGAATTTTAAGTTTTACATACATTTAAATGAAATGGAAAGTACTATTATATGGTAACATTATTGTATAATCTACTTAAATATCTTAATTTCTTTGCTTGCATTTCCCTGTCTTTAAAAGGGTCGGTCCTAAGAGGTCATTCAATCAACAAATACACATTGACCACCTACTATAGAAAAGCACAAGCCAACCACTAGATTATCCCTGATTCTCAAGAAATTCTGAATTCATCAACTCAAGATAGACAGTAAACTACAAAGTAAACTGGACAGTAAATTACAGCTAGAATAAATATAACTGGAATATCTAACAATGTGTAACAGGGCACCTGACAGTAGATTTAAAACATACAAAAGACAAACTCAGGTACAACATAAATAGTACGAGAATAACATCATTGTTCTCAGTAATAGAACGGCTCTATAATTTTCAAACTATTTATAAAATAAAAAAGAACTAATGATGAGAATTAGAAAGTTTTAACAATTCAGTATACTCACTTTAAAGTAAATTCACTATTTTTCCCTGCAATTCATTCCACTACATTACGATTGCATAAAAAAGATTAATTCACCCACACAGTCATATTCTATACCTCCATCTTCAGTCCCCCTAGAGAGTCCCCTGGAAAACTCTCTCCCGCCACTTTTCTCTTCCCAGCTCCCCCCCACTCTCAAGTCACTCAAGAGTCCTGCTTCATAGATATTCTTCTTTTTCAATTTTCTGACCCTTTCACGTCCTTCAGGGCAAGATGGGTCAGTGGATAAAGGCACCTGCTGCCAAGCCTGAGGACCTGAGTTCAATCCCTAGGCCCCAAATAGTGGAAGGAGAGAACTGATTCCCATACACACATTGGGGCACTCACGCACCTCCCAATAAATGAATGAATAAATATAGTCCTCTCTAAATTAGAGGAAAAGACAGTAAGATGTGGCCAAATAATTTGTAACCAAAAAGATTCAAAAGACAGTTCAGTTCACTTTGTATACATGTAAAATAAAGCCATTGTTTTTCCTCATAATCATCATTATTTAGCACCAATCCAGCAATATTTTTTAAATCCTCTCTCTGATCACTTATACCTATCAACTTTTTGAGGCAATGGGGCAAGGCACAACTGACACCACCTGCAAACATTCATTCATTCTTTCATCCAACAATTACTAGACACTTACTGTGTACAAAACAGCACTGTTCAACAGAACTGTGTAATGAGGCTTCAAGTTCTTTCTATGTCTACACTTATAATGTGGCCATGGAGCACCTGGCATGGCTAGTGTGCCTGAGAAACAGTATTGTGAATTTTACTTAATTTTGATTAAATTTAAATTTAGATAGCCATATGTGACTGGTGTATTGGACAGAACAACTTCAAGGTAAATTTTTGGTTCTAGTAGTTAACAAGTCAGTGCCTTAACAGTCTAACAAACCAGTCAAAGAGAGTTAATGTTTAGAAAATGGTTAACATGCATGTTTTATCTATGTTAAAACCAACTTGTTAAAGAAATCATAAAATTCTGGAGAGACAAGACTTAACATTTATTCCAATCCCACTTAACAAAAAAGAAAGCTAAAGCCCAGAAAGATTAATTTGTTCAAAATAATACAATTCATTTGGTGAGACAGCTGCATTAGAGTCCTACTATTAAGAAAACTAAAAATTGCAGGTATCTGATCCAGGATCTTATTTTATTCCAAACAATGACAATGTGTGTGTGTGTGTGTGTGTGTGTGTGTGTGTGTGTGTGTGTGTTATTGAAAGATAAGAGCAGTTAAGAGCACTGGCTGCTCTTGCAGAGGACCCAGGTTCAAGTCCCAACACCCACATGGCAGCTAACAACCATCCGTAACTCCAGTTCCAAGGGATCCAATACTCTCTTCTGTTCTCCACAGCATTGCATGACACAGGTGCACTTACATACATGCAGGCAATACATTCATACACATAAAAATAATAAGTAAAATATTTTTTAAAAAGGTAAGAACCATACCGATGTGCCAGCTGCAGCACCCTGGAATGTTGTGGGTATATCATCTTGTAAATCATTTAGTGAAAAAGAGTGGTTTAAGTCTGATTCAGCGATAGTCTTTCCAGATGAATTGACTTCAGCCTAAAAATAAGACGTATCCAAGAGCAGATTACATGAAGAAATGTACTGAGTAACACACAAGCTACTAAACCCCTCCTGTGGATTTATTTTAAATGCTCCTTTAATATCTATCATCAGTCAAGCTCTGAGCATGCCTGTGTCTGCCGTCATGCTAAGTTTTATAGAAAGAAGATTAGACAATCCTATCCTCAAATAGCTGCTAACTGGTGAGGAACAACAACACTTAAGGTTCACAGTCTACAATTCTAAAAACTTCCGAAAACTAAAGTTTTGGGGCTAATTTTTAAGTAAAGCCCAGTATGAACTATATCAGGCTAGCACAGTCTTTATCCCACAATAGTAAATAGTTCTGTGTTTGCCAAGAAAACATTAATGGATTCCATGATGAGCTGCTGTACAGATTTCACTGTGGTTAGTTAAAATATGCTAATAATTTCCTCAAATCTGAAAAACTCTGATATAAAAGTACATCTATCCCTAAAATTTTCAGAGAAATGATGTTAAATGTAATAGGATTTGGGGGAAGGAAGAAAGTATAGTCAACATTTATACTTCCTCTTCTGAAACTACAATAAAAGTTGGAGCACTTCCAAGAACTGGACACAGATGCACAGACAGGAGACAAAAAAGGGCATGAGAAGGAGCAGGTGGCATGTTGCCTAATGGAGACTAACTGAATTCCAGAAACACGAATGTGCTTATTCAAAGTATTAAAATACATCTAATGTTTGGGTAAAACATATACGGAAAAAAAAGGATAAAAGAGGTATGCCAAAATGTTAACAGTAGTTATTTCTAGGGGTGAGGGTATGGATAATTATCATCTTAGTATTATCCATCTGTACTGTTTATAAAGCACCAGGGATAGTACTAAATGAAATCCATGCACTACACGTATTAACACATGTATCCTGGCAATAATCCTATACGGAGGTACTATTACTATTACAGATGAGAAAAGGGCACACAATGGGTAAGAAACATGTCTGACATGATCACAGCAAACTACGAGTAAGTATAAGGTTTGAATCCGGCATTGTATATCACAGTCACAGTTTTAGGTGTTATGCTAAAATGCCTGCATGAGGCATAAATTTTGTAATAAGAAAATATTGCTTATAAATATTTATAAAACATTATTGCAAAAGAACTATATTGCTTCCCTTTTTACCTAGAATTCAGCAGCAAAAGAAAAGGCTACATAACTAGAATCTGTTTAGAAATTTATAGTACCTTAAAGCTAATTTGTCTAGCCAGTTCCTTGGCTTCTTGGTCAGCTTGGCTTGAATCACCTCCAGATTTTAAAGGCAATAGGACATCCTTCATGGCAGAGCCACAACCTTCACAACAGAAATCCTGTGATCTGGTAGGAAACAATTTTGTTTAATGAATATAAATCAAATAGTTCAATATTAACACCCTTTATTAAAATACTCAAATATTGAATGACTAAAAGAACATTTAACAATTTCATATTACATTCATCTACAGTCTATAAATTAGACAATCAAGGCACTAATCAGTTCTGAGACGTGTGTGTTAGCTTGATATTAAAACCAGTTTAGATTCTATTAAAAAAAATAATAAGTTATCTAGGAGCTAGAGAGATGGTTCAGCAGTTAAAAGCACTGGTTGCTCTTACAGAGGACCCAGGTTCGAATCCCAGCACCCACATGGCGACTACCATGTAACTCCAGTTCCAGGGGAATCCAACGCCTTCCTCTGACCTCCGCAGGCATTGCACAACATGACACAACACGGGTCCACATACAGGCAATACACTCATACACATAAAAATAATAAAATTTTAAAAATGAGTTTTCTAAGGAAAGGTAAAATGTAGGTCTACAGTCAACAATATATAAACTGTCTATGATATATAAACTGTCTACAATACTGTCCTCAAGGGTACATATAATGACCCTACTGAAAGTCTTTGAAAAGGTCCAGTATAAAATTCCAATTACCACTTAGCAGAAAAATATATAGCAGGAAAGAAGCCAAATAATACTAGAATTTACAGATATTTCTTGAAAAACATTCTCAAATACTATTCATTTAAACAGCAGCACAACTGGAAGACTTGGAAGAACTTGTGGAAAATAACTAAGACTGAATGTGTCCCCAGTTACATTAAACAGAGACTCAAGATAAATCTGAATTTATTTTTCCACTATCCCTTGTGCATTCCAGATGGAGACAAAGTTCAGTTGGTAGAGGACTTGTCTGGCATGCATGAGACCCTAGTGATTGCTAGCAATGCATAAACCAGGCATGCTGATGCACATCTGTGGTCTCAAGCACTTGGAGGTGGAGGCAGAAGCATTGGGAGTTCAAGGCCATCTTTAGCTATATAGTGAATTCAAAACCAGCCTAGGTTTATGAGATCCTGTCTCAAAATAATAAAACCTTGGGCTGGCAAAATGGCTCAGTGGGCAAAGGTGCTTTCTGCCAAGGGCGCTCATAACCTGAGTTCGATCCCCAGGACCCACAGGGGATCGAACTGATTCCCCACAGGGGATCAAACTGATTCCCACAGGTTGTCTTCTGACCTCCACACACATGCCATGGCAAGTACACAACATGCCTCTATCATAGGCTGCGAACCTAGACTAATACTGAGAAGTCCCTCTCTCTCTTCCTTGTATATAAAAACAACTAGATATCAATCATCTAGATAGATAGAAAGTAAATGTAGGGAGGTGTAGTGGTATATGCCTTTAATCCCAGCACTTAAGAGGCAAAGGCAGGCAGATCTCTGTGAGATTGAGGCCAGCCTGGTCTACCTAGCGAGTGCCAGGCCAGCTGGGGCTACAGCAAGACACTGCCTCAAAAAAAAGTAAATGTAGACGATCAAATAAAAGATATACTGTATATTCAAAATACAAAGTGTAATCTGTGAAAAGTAGCTATAAGTAAGTTATGTTCCACAATTTGAGAATAAGGTCCAAAATAAAAGGTGCAGCTGGGCATGGTGACACATACTTATAATTTCAGCACTTGCTTGGGAAACATAGGAAAGATTACCATATGTTTGGGACCAGCCTGACACACTGAGTTTCAGGTTAACCAGGGGATAATAGCAAGACCTTGTCTAAGATTTAAAAACAAACAAAAAACCCTCCCCCACCCAGAAAAAGAAAAGTTGCTCTAAGGCCATAGCATCTACTGAATCCTCCAGACACTAAAATCTATTTGATTTAACTGACATTGTGGAGGATCTACTTTGGGCTGTGCCTCGGCCTAGTTAACATAATCTGTCTTGACATGTTGTAGGCAGAGACTCCAGTACAGGAAATTTATAAAAATCAAGAACTGGATCTCAGCACTGCTGAAAGGAAATGGTAATTTGAATTGAATAATCATGGTTCTATAGATAAAAACACCTGAGAAAAAACAAGAGAAGGCAATACCACCAAAGCACAGCTTGATAAAAGTCTTTTATTTTACACCAGATCATGTACTGAATACCTGCTATGAGTTCTATACTTTATTTTCCCTTTAGCAAAATACATCTTAGCAGAATACTGTCAACTACATTTAAAGAGAATGAGGTCATCAGGCTGGGGACACAGGTCAGTGGAAGAGCATTTGCCTGGCATGAGTGAGGTTCTTGGATTGATCCAGTACAAAAAAAAAAATTCATGACATCCATTTTTTTTTTAACTTTTTTTTTAATGTGTATGCGTGTATTGCCTGCATGTAGGTAAGTGCACCTGGGTCATGCAATAATGCCCCAGGAGGTCAGAAGAGGCTGTCGGATCCCCTGGGACTGGAGTTATGGACAGTTGTTAGCTGCCATGTGGGTTCTGGGATTCGAACCCGGATCTTCTGCAAGAACAACCAGTGTTCTTAACCGCTGAGCCATCTCTCCAGCCCCTCTAACATCCATTTTTTAGATCCTAGTAGCACTAAGGAAATTTGGAGAACTGGATTTCTACAATAGCATTGATGAGGCTAGATCCTTAGCCAAGGCTACTTACAAAGTATGAGACCCAGTGACCACTTCTACAATAGTGCTCAGACCCTAAGAAAGAATGAAGCGTATGACTTACTTTTTGGCAAGTGCTCTTCTCTCCTCGGGCGTGTAGTCTAAAGATCCTATGGCTCCCTCTCCTTTTGTTGGCATAAACCCAATAATGGCCAGTAATGCTGTCCTTACTGAAACAGAAAGTAAACACCAACCTGAGCAAAGGACTAGGGCAGCATCTAGGGAGACGGCTGAGCCATGCAAACAGGAGGACCTGAGCTCCAGCTCTAGCACTCACATTTTTTAGAAAGTCTAGACATGGAAAAGCATTTTTACCAGTTTTCCAATGGTATCTGATTATTCTAAACATACTCAATCTCAAAGGTGTATTATAATTCATGATTACAAACTGAATAAAGTGGTAAGGTTTATATTCACTATTTATCAATACTCACTGCTCCATGAAGGCTGCCAAGTTTCAGGATGATGTCCTGAGATGCTTAAACAGATCTTCTTGCCTACTTCAAATCGTCCATTAGCCTTAGGAATAAACAGCACTTTTTAAAAATTGCAAAGGTTTACTTAATGTTTTCCACTTTCCAAGAATAATTACATTTTAACTTTACATATGAATAAATTTAATGTTTTTAAAATGTAATTCTAAAGGACACAGATTATTGTCCTCTTATAGATGACATTCCAAATAATATTTGTTGGATGCTGAATGAATAAGAAAAGCTGTTTTTTAGAAGGTGTATCAGCACCTTTTTGAGACTGCGCCATACAACTAAAGTCTAAATAATTAGCACATGAAGATTCACTGATGCTGTGCCCTGTGCTTACTATAGATCTAGGCCCAGTGAATTAGAGAGAAGACATGTAAGTGGCCAGGATAAAAGCTAAGGCTAAGGCTAGTGTCAGCTAACTAGTTGTTGAGGAAGTGTCTGGAAAGGTGGCTTTGAGACAGGAGCAATTTTTCAGAAGCATAATGTCATTTAATTAGCTAGGGACACAGAAAAGGGAGATCAGTGACCATGGCTTCAGTTTTGGACATGGATCTGATGGCTTAATAGGAAAGCTGCTAATGATATCTAACAGGCAGGTAGAATGTAAGTATGCTAATGTCAGGGAAGATGATAGGAGAGACTCTTGGCACCTGTCTTTTCAGAGGTGACAACTGAAATTATTTCATACAAATAAGAAAATATAGTTGAAATACGAGCAGGTGGAGCCACATATTAAGGGAGAAAAAGTGAGAAAGAAGAGGGACAAAGTCAAAATAAACATTCCACTTGGGCAAAAGGCTAACTCGACCCTGGGATAGCCACAGGGCCTGGCAGATGATGTGTTCAATAAATATTTGCTGAAAGTTGAAGATGAATTTCCAAGAAGGGAAGTGAATGAAAGCACAGTACTGACTATCAGGAGGCTGGATTGCTTTTCAGTATGTAAATACAACTGATCCACTGGTGAACCACTGAAATATCTCTATACTCAATAAAGAGCTGTTGCCATCTACCCAATATAAACACAGTCATCCCACATACCAGCCCCTCTCTCCAGACCATGTGGTTCTCCCAACTAACATGACTTCTGACACAGCAGGGTACCTGCAGGACTCTGATCCGGTCCAGGTGCCAGCAGTAACCAACCATAAGCAGTAACACCTAATACTTGTCAAGTAGTGGCGCCCATCTGCCAGGAACTTTGGAGCATGATTGTATTTGCCACAGACAACATTCCATTTGACAGAAGTACAAACTAAACTTCAGAGACAATATATAACGTACATACAGGAGTTCAGACCCACTGACACTAAACAAATGCTTTCTGTGGTCTACCAAGTATAAATATAAGCTGTGCTACTTTGTTGTTTATAGATGAATACCTCCTTTCACCATGTGCTAACCTTGCGGATCAGATAAAACTTGGAACAGGGTAAAAACTGAGAAGACGCTGTGGGATTTCTCAGAGAGTAAAAGAAGCATGTTTCAGCAGAATGCTATGTGCCAAACTGGACTACAGCAGCCTACACACTAGTAAGGCCACCTGAGAAGTTATCAAAGAGAAAAAAAATAATAGTTTACGAGAAAATTAAACAAATTAAATGAGGGAAGGAAAACTTAACAAGAGAGTTAGTATATCATGCCTTCTTTCACATGAAAATAAAACACATAAAAGTAGAAATTCTGAGATATAAACAAAAACAAAATAACCAACATTTACCAAGGTCTCTGTGTCAGCCCTATTCTGAGCTGACTCTTTGATTTTGACATCAACTCAATGAGCTAGGCATCATCATGTTCACTGTAAACAAGAGGAATCTAAGGAAAAGTATGTAAGATGGGCAGAATATTGAAGACAATGTGACTATGAGCCACGCCAACAGTTCTGAGTGCTTACACATGCCAGCAGTGTGCAAGCACTCCTCACACAGTCACTGACTCTTAACCATGCATTTAATACTTCATAGAGTACTTCATAGAGGCATCAGCTTCCTAGGAATTGTTTTGATGGAAAAATTGCATTCCTGTAGCCTGGGCTTTGAAGGCAAAATTATAATAATATTCTACTTTATTTCTTAATGAGTATGCTGACTATATTTTGCAAATACCAGGAGAATTTAATCCACAAGCACTGCAAAAAGCCAATAATTTGAGACTAGAGAGATGGCTAAGCAGTTAAGAGTACTGACTACTCTTACAGAAGACCTGGATTTGGTTCCCAGCTCCCACATGGCAGCTAACAACCTTCTGTGACTCCAGTTCCAGGGGAATTCAATGCCTCTTCTGTGTCAGGCACTACACCATACAGGTACGCTTACATGCACACAATTCACTCATACACATAAAATAAAAATAGTATTTTTTAAAAAAAAAACAAGAATTCTTACCGTTAGGAGAATAATGCTTGGTGGTTTCATGGGATACTCTGGTGGCAGTACTATTCGTCCATGATAAACTCCTCCATCAAAATCAGAATCTGGGGGTCCTCTAACTGTGAAGTGCCATTCAAAAAGGTTATCCTGAACAAAAACAATAATCCATAGGAATCAATAACATTAAAAAGTTTTATTATTTTTATCAATAGGAATATGAAAAATTTCAAATGAAAAAAATCAAATGTTTTGTAAAATTGTTAGGATAGTTTCTAATGCTCAAAATATCTCAAAAGTAAGTTATAAATCAAAATATATAAATAAAAGGTGTCTAAATGTTATAGGCCGGGCATGGTGGCACTCACCTTTAATCCCAGCACTTGGGAGGCAGAGGCAGGTGGATCTTTGTGAGTTCAAGGCCAGTCTGGTCTACATAGTGAGTTCCAGGACAGCTGGGGCTACAGGAAGACCCTGCCTCAAAAAGACAGAAAAATAAAAAATAAATAAATATAAATAAAAGGTATCCTATAAAATCTATAATCTTTTTAAAGCAAATACATTAACAATTCTGAGTGCTGATCAGTCGTGGTGGCACATGCTTTTAATCTCGACCCTTTTTTTTTTTTTTTTTTTTGGTTTTTTTGAGAGAGTGTCTCCTTGTAGGCCCAGCTGGCCTGAAAAATCTCTATGTAGACCAGGTTGGTCTTGAACTCAGAGATCCACCTTCCTTTGCCTCCTAGGTTCTGGGATTAAAGGCATGTGCCACTACACCCAGCTTCATCTCGGCACTTGGGTGGCAGAGGTAGGCAGATCTCTGTGAGTTCAAGGCCAGCCTGGTCTATAGGGTGAGTCCCAGACCAGCCAGGCTACATAGTAAGACCATTTTTGTTTTTGTTTTTTAAAAAAAGATTGTTATATTCATATAACATGACAGATTTAATTAAATTGGAAATTAATGCTTCAAACAATATTAATTAGTGAAAATGTAGTTAGATCATTA